TAAGCTAAGAAAATAAGTATAGAAAATAAGAAAAAGGAATGAAGACAAAACTGGAAGTGGAAGTGCCGTCTGACACTTGTGTATATGGGGGTTGTCGTTCGGCAACCTTTAGGAAAGGGAGAGGTTCTGATCGTCACTAGGGTAGTAGGTGGAGGAAAGTGCCACTTTGGCACTGTGAGGCAGGGGCACTTGTTTCTCTGTTTTCTGTTTTTCTGCTTTGTCCTTCTATGGCACTATGCTGCATAATTCTTAAATAATATTAGTATTTACTAGTAACAGTATATATGAATGTCACTATTTCCAGTAGCAGTAAATTAAATTCAGTTGCTAGAAGCTAGTTTTATATGGAAGAATGGCACATCCATTAGGCATTTAATAAATAAGTAATTTTAGGGAGAACAATTAATGGTGGACTATATATATTTTGAATGGTTGAATTAGTATTTTATTAGTGATCAAATAATTAACAGTGGTATTAATTGATTAAGTTGGCAAATAATTGGAAACGAATCGATTAATTCGGTATGTTGGTATATTGATGTATTTTGCGAATTGACCAAAATGTCATTTTGTTTCGATATATCAGTGGTGAATAAATGTTGTGATTTACCCTTGATTAATTGGTAATGATAGTGATATAGGCCTTTGGCCAATGTTGAAGGTGTGAATTGTTGTTATGATGACCTTTATTATGTTGTTGTCGTTGTTGCGTTGCCAAGTTATTGTTGTTTATATCATCGCATAGCATTAAAGTTGTCCTGGATTGGCATGTTCTAAGTTGGAGAGAATGCTCACCATGTTGGCCTTTATTGGCAAGATTTTATATTAAGGGCTTATGCCTTATGCCTCGGTAAACTGGCACTTTCTAAGTTGGGAGTTCTGCTCCAATGGTACCACCTGCATTTGCATAGTTGAGTCGTATTTGGATTCGTTGATTTGTTGCTTAGTGTTGTTTACGCACGATAATGTTATAAGTTGAATTGAGGCGTTTGTGAACGATATTGCTTTATGTTGATTTGGTATGAAGTGGTGATTTTACATAAACTGATTTCGATATATTATTTATCATATGTTCTATTATAGTATTTGATATCTCACCCCTTCTGTTTGAATATTACCCTTTGTTGGTAACGTGCAGGTAACCAAGAGGAGTAGCCGTTAGCGTTGTTAGTTCGAGTTTGGTGTCATTTGCTCTGATACATAGCACTCAGGGGGAAATGAACGCTTGTTTTATTTTGTTGTTTATTCATCAAACCTTATGTCGTTATTTGAGGAATTATCATATTGATGTTGTTTTATGATTCAAAAGATGCTATGTCTCATATGGAGAATTATTATGAATCCGCTGCGTGATTAATCAAAGTTGGTTTATGTTATGAAGACCTTATTCATGAGTTGTGTTCATTCCGTTTTCTTTAAGTGTTAAGTATCTATTCTAAAAGCATGACAAATTTATGTGTCTCTATTGAATGTGTAGCATCCTGATTATTTTAGAAATTTTTATACTCTGATTTACCGTAAAATTGCTTGGGGTAGAATTTGGGTGTTACACATATGACTACAATTTGGAGGATCTAAACATATATAGGGTGACTATATAACATAATGGACGATGTGAAATCGTGGAAACAACTCTCAAAGAATCTATACACCTTACTGTTGTAGGTCATCCATAACATGATGCTTCTAACTGCATAATCTACACAACAAGATATGAAATGTCTTATTCAGGTTCAAGGTGGAAATTTGTTGAAAGAGATCTCCTTGAGTCATGATTAGGTTTTGTAACTTGTAATATATGTCAGGTTAGTACACTTGAGTGTAACTCCCTTAAGTCTATCTCCACTATATTCTATGTACTTATTGTTTTGTACAATTAAGATATCTGACTTTCTAACAATAAAGCAACATTCTCTTAAGAGTCTTAACCTTAAATCTTGGACTTCTATTTTGTTCTTGTATTGTTCCCTGTCAGTGAAGAAGTTCATGTGTGTAATTTCATTTGGGTTTTTTCCATTAATTCAAGGTGTATTGTGGCTCTTGCATTAATTCAAACTCAGAACTTAAAACTTATAAATCAAATTCAAACTCAAACTCAAAACTTATAAAATCAAACTCAGAACTCAGAACTCAAACTCGGAACTTATAAATCACAAATTGAATACATTTTCACTTATAAACTCAAACTTTATAAATCACCAAATACTTTTTCATGTCTTCAATATATCTATGTCAATACTGCTTACTCTTAAAAGTTTCTTTTTGTTATCTATGTCACCCATATTTAGTCCTTTCTTAGTATCCCTCCATCCCTTATAACTTCTTCTTCTTGGTACCTATGTCCGAGAAGCAAAACTTTAAGTTTTTATATTGTCATTTGCAGTTATTATCCAGGTTGTAGTACTCTTATAATTTACAAGATGGATTTTATTCAATAACTGTTCACATAATGCTTTTTAAAAACACTAACATTCACACTTTTAAATGATAATGAGACTTCCTTTTCTTTGCATATACTCTTGTCGTTGAAGGTCATTTTTCAAATAATTTCGTTCTAGAAATACTCTTTATGCATTACTCTATAAAATATTATATTTAAACTTCACACTTTTTAATATTTTTATATGGATTTTTAATTAGGTGCTTGTTTTTTAACAGAAAATAATCTTCATTCATAACAAGTCTAGAACAAAAAAAAATAAGTTAGCCAAGTGCATGACAATTAACCACAATATAAATAGAAGGAAAGGTAGTCAAAAAGAAACATTAAAAACATGAGAGATTTTTGAAGAGTAGAATTCATTCATCACATATATTTGCAGAAAAAAATTTAGGGTTTGAAAAGGGATTTAGGGTTTGAGAAGACAAACCTGTTAAAATTAAAAACAAGAGAGGTTGCTTTGACGGTGATTCGCAGTGACGTTGTGAGTGGCTGAGAAACTTATTTGACGGTGAAACTCCATGAGCGCGAGTCTCCTTTGAGAGTGATTATGAAAAAAGAAGAGAAGATAAAAAATAAAAGCGAAATATAGTTGGGCACGAAAGATGAAATATTGGATGACGACGGGTGCAATCAGTGTCGTGTAGCTTTATCCGCATATGAATGGTTTGGAGTGGTATCGGTAGGTCACCGTCATGGCTTTGATAACTGTTTTGAAATTGTGGGCAACGGTATGTTCACTGTTGTGGGGTTTGAAATTTTTTAGATAATTGGGCACAACGGTTGATCACTGACATGGTCTATGATGAGTTCTCACCTTTTAGGGGATCAAGTTTCAGTGACTTTGAATTGTAAAATTTTGGTAACTTTAATCAACAAATTATTTTATCACATTAATATAATATATATTAATTATTTATTTATTAAATACTTTTACTAAAGTTTCAAGTTATGGGTAACAGTAAAGTTACCCAAGTCATTCTCTCTTTTAGGACTTGTGTTACTTGGTTTGGATGGCGACAGTTAATGTACTGTCGTGACATATAATTTAGGACGGTTTTTAAACCGTCTTGAACTTATTACTATGGAAGTAATCGTCATCATAATTAATAATTTTTAAAAAAAATATAAGAATGGTAGATATAGACTGTCGTGATACGCATCTTTATATTAGAGTTATAACATGTATCAAATAACTGTCACAATTTTTATATCATTAAACCTTAATTTTCTTGTAGTGAATAAAAGAATTATAGCCTAGAACATAACGACTAATGATTGTTTTCTAATTAAATTATTAATATAACATCATATGAACATCAATAAGAGGTTTAATAATGAGTCAATGAAAAATTATAAGTATAGAATAAAAAAGAATGATTATCAATTTAAGTTTGAGTGGTACAAGATAGAAGTTGAGAAGATAAAGTGAGATGGGTTTGAATATCTTCCCTAACATTATTATTATTATTTTTAGAAGGAATGAAAAACATTATTAATAAATTATATTTACTACCTTACTAATCATAATTCATAACTACATTATTATTGAGTAATAATTTTTGCTTATGGATATTTTGGAAAACATTACACACCACTAAGATGTATCCAAATGTCTTTGGAATCAATTTAAGACTATTTAAATAAAACAATATTCATAAATAAAAAAGAATGCAACACTTAGATGAATTTAGTTGAAACTTGACACTATAACACCTCATAATATCCTTAGACATGTTCAACCCTCTAGAATTCCTAACAATTTTGCAACGAAAACACTTGTATTGTATAACAAATATATAGAAAAAATCGCCATTCCATTTTCCATTCAAATCCTATAACAATTGACCCCAAACACTTACGACCCTTAAATTTTGGAAAAGGTCCTCTCTCAAAACAATTTGTTTGCTCTACATCTCCATGATCGTAATATCAACACTTTAATGCCCACTTTTTTTCTTAATTATAACATGTTGGAGTAAGAAATTATTTCTAATGTTAGTACATAATAATAAACAAATATATGCATATTGAATACAAAATATCAAATCCATAAAATTAGTTAAGCATACATGTTAAAACATAGAGGTGAAGTGTGTATGTTCATACTTTATGGTATGAAATTTCAATGCAAAATGAGAGACAAGCATTATACCAACACATACCATTAAAATCCTCAAACAATGAATACAATTCTAACAAATTTTAACTGAATACACACATAAGTTGTATTCAATTAATTTTTATTATAAAATATTAAATTTCTAGAGTAAGATCCATCTCATTGACAATTTTTGTTTTGAGCAAGATCATCAATCAAATATTATACGCAAATGAAAATAATAAAGTGAAAAGAGAATTGAAATATTTCTTTCAAATTCAATCAACAACCCACATGCATATAGTCATATATTTAAATTAAATGATATCAAAATATGGTACAACCTAATTGTTTATCATTTATTATTGACGAATAATTAACCTCTCATGCTTCCAAGATTTAATAAAACTAGTTCGAGATAGTTGTTGAAAGTATAAATCAAGCTCTCACCTTTGCCCCTTAATTTTCAGTATCAATGGGTTTTGTCACCCTGTAAATATCAGCAAGAGATCTATATTTCTTCATCTTCTTTGGTCGAAAAATCTGATTGATCTTATTAATATTGGATCTATGATTAACATCTTCAGATGAGATTTTCTCCCCCCTTTCAACCTATATATCAGTAGACACACCATCATTCTTCAGGATTTCATTTGGTGATTTATCATGTGACATTTCATTCAAGCGAGGTTTCATCAGCTTGCATTGACGTTTGCTTCCCATAGGGTATCTTTGTTTTTGATCGCGTATTTTTGGAGGGTATTCGATGAAGGAGTTTTGTTTTTGTGAGAAAGAAATTCTGAGACAGAATGGATGAAAAGCGGCGCCTCCCGTCACATTAGAAAATATAGGGTTTAAGGTTAATTTTGTAAATTTATTTGGAAGTTGATATTTATATATTAATGGATCTAGAACCCTGGTAAAATGAATGCAAAATGAAATTCAAATCATTTTGGGTTACTCGTTCAAGAAAATAGGTTAAAAATGTAAAATATATAAGTATATGGGCTTCTTCTTTTTTGTCAGGAAGTTTAAACCCCCATGAAAACTACTAGTAAAATTAAAATAATAACAGGAAAAATTAAATATTTCTCTAAACGCAAGGTTTATTATGTTTTATTTATTTTTGTTGTGTGCTTATACTATTAAAATGTGAAAATTTTATCTTCTTTTATTAGTTTCTTTTGTAATCAAAGCTATTTTGTTATATTTGTTCTGGACTGACCCAATAGACAAGGCTCGGTAGATAAGGCTCAATAGCTGGATGAGGGATAGTCACGAAGAAAGTATGTCATCCGATTTTTCCCTCAATTAAATAGAATTCTCTTCATGAAATCATCATGCACGATCTCCCAAAAATGACCAAATGATCAATCGCAACTTACTTGAAGGTAAGGAAAACACAATAAATGGGGGTTTGAATTGGGTTTCTAGAATGAATCTTTTTCGCTACCCAAGACAAGAAACAAAGAACTTAGATTAAAAATAATTAACACAATATTTTTATCCCGGTTCATTGTTAACAGAGCTAACTCCAGTTCACCCGCCAAGGTGATTTCTCCTTCTCCAAAATACTTAATCCACTATAATTAAACTGATTACAACCTCAAAGACTAAATTACAATGTTGTCTTGAGAAATTCTAGCTATACCCTAGTCTCTCAAGGAATAACAACTCAAAAGTTGAGATACAATGGTGTGTTTACAAAGATGCTTCAATAAAGCAGATTACACAAAATGAAATACAATGAACGACACAAAAGTGTTTAAGAGCAAGTGTATGAAAAAAAGTTCCTTTCTTGATGCTTTTCTTATTTCACTGAATTTATAATATTTACGTTCAAGATCTTGAGAAAATGTTTTCAAAAATTCGTTGTGTAAAATTATACTGTTCCATTCTTCAAGTCTTCTTCTTTATATAGGTAAAGAAAGATTTGTTGAAGGTTAAAAATGGAATTCCACAAATTCATAGATGTATCCTTGCATAATTGTCAGCACGAGTGGGAGACAAATTGGTATAATAGTATAATCCTTTCTCCAAAAAATCAGTGTAGTGGAAGGAATATTTGATCTTGTACTGTGTACTATTTTCTCACGTAAAACCTTTTGATCTTATCTTCTAATATTCAGAGGATTCAGAATGTGTGTTTATGAAGCATGCTTATAAGGATCAAGAGTTGTAAGAGATTCTTCAGAACCTTGTCCTTCATAAGTATTCAGAACCTTGGTCTTCAGAAGTCTTCAGAATCTTCAGAACTTGTTCTTCACAGACTTCATAACTTTGTCTTTAGAGTCTTCAGAGCTTGTGGAGCGCAGAATATCAGAGCTTGAAAACACTTTAGAAGCTTGTTTATTAGAGTCACGATCATAATCTATTTGATGAGCATTATTTCAGAAGCGTTGTCAAAGAGTATTCTAGAACTTGACTATTCCTTGTAAAATGCACTTTGTTTCTTCTCAGAAATAGAGTGTGTTGAGTTCATAACCTGATAACATCACACGTCAATTCTTTAAAGTCAAAACATGTTATCATTCATATACACACTATACAAAAACCATTAGTGTACAAAATTGTTCTCTATGAAACAATGTATTTTTATCATCAAAACTAAAGGCTAGATGCAGAACCAACTCTTATTATTACAATCCCCCCTTTTTGATGATGACAAAACCATGTATTTTGATGAAATTTTTTTACTAGGTTTAATCACATAAAGCATATTAGAGTAAGCTATTAAGCTCCCGCTGAGTTTTGTATTATCAAAAATTATCTCAGCTTGTTCAGAGGCTCCCCCTGAGTTCAAGACTTATAAAATAATTTTAATACATAAAACACTTTAATCATCATGAAAGGAATACTTTACTGCTTAAAATGCTATGAGAGTCTGATTAGAAATGTCTGGTTTGTATTCTTAGAGCATAATTTGCCATTAGAGTCTAGTTGGATTTCCTTTTAACAAAGGTCTGGTTAACAAGTTTTGATTATCAGAACATGCTATATCTTCAGAGTTTTTATCCCTGTTTAATGATCATCTGAATCTCCTGATTAGAAATGTTGAGTGAACTTTTTCAGAGTTCCCGATCAGTCAAACAATGTTATAGGCATAATATATTAGAAACATGTATGTGATAAGTAAGGAAAATAGGTATATCAAAATCATCTACACTTCTCCGCCTTTGTCATCAATCAAAAAAGACTTTTAAAGAGATAAACCAAAATAGGTACTTCATTTATGAAGATAAAGATACAGTTCCAGAAGATTAAAACCAGAAAACTAAACTAAAAGGTAAAAAAAAAGTGGGTGGTGGTTGTGAAAGCTTTGATAGAATGGTTGACATCATAAATTCCAACTTGATTTTGGTTTCTGTTTGAGCTTTGAACATCTTATCTTGCTTTTCCAAACGAGTTCTGACCACAACATTCTCTTTCTTGATCTCTTCCAAAGTCTTCATTATCACATGAGGCATTTATTTAGAGGCAGACACATAAGACTTCTTAATACCATAAGTAGTCACGATCTTAGAAGATTTGACAACCATAGAGGTTGAAGGTCCAGAAGCAACAATAGTTGGAGAAAAAATCTTCTATTCAGAAGTAGAAGTTTCTTCAATATGAATATCTTAATGAGGAACTTATTGCTTAGGTTCATCCACAGTCCCATCATATACACGAGCATGCAGAAGAACTTGTTCACTCTTATGCAGAATTGGATTCATGACACCAACAATTCTATCATGAAAATTTCACTGAGCATCCTTGAAACATATTTCCTTTAATTCCCTAGAGAAAGAATTAATCCACCTTCTGAAGTCAGTTCAGAGTGCGTCACTCTCAGCAGATTTACACAATATGTGCAAACTTGCGTCAAAGAGTGCAAACGTTCATTTGTTTCACTTTCAAACTATATCAATAATTCATCAATAGGAGGTCTTAGTGGTGGAAGTATATTGGTTCTATGGAAGTCTAAGTCAGAAGGATTAGGTTGGTTTACTTCAGGTTCAGCAAGAATATCATCTTTATAATCATATGATAAATTGATAACTTTTCCTAAAGAATCAATAGAATGGGGAATGGGACAAGAAATACTCCATCTCAGTGTGAATGACTTGGACACTAATGACATTGGCTGGGTGTTGTGATGATTGAGGGTCATTTGGGAAAGAATTAATTTCAAGGAAATTAATTCTAAAGGAATTATAAATGGGAGTTAATGGTAGATATTCAACGAGTGGTGGTTCATTAAGTGGTTATTAGATTTGGGATAAAAGTGGTTCAAGAATTTGTGGTTGAGGTTGAGGCTCAAGTATTGTGGTTATCGAAGGTTGGGTATTTGATGGTTGATGAGTTTCAGAAATAGGGGGTTGAGTCTCAAAAGTTTGTGTGTTGGATGGTTCAAGTGGAATAATTTAATAAGGAGTAGTTTGTGTATGTTGAAGTAAGGGGGGACTACAAAAGTAGCATGAAGATGAGGTGGTAAAGGTGTAGGATGAGAAGGAGTAGATAAAGATGAATTATCATTAACATCCTGAAATAAAGGCAAAGAAGTCTCATCAGAGGATTTACTTGGTACGGGATTGTGATAAGAAGGAGCTTCAAATTCAAAAATGGTTTATGAGGTCTTCTTGCAGAAACCGAAGTCTTAGCCTCGTTAGCTTGAGACTTAGCAACTCCAGAAGATCCATCACCAACCTTCTTAGAAGCTTTCCTATTTATTTTTACAAGAGGCTCAAAGGAAGCAACTTAACTATTTTCTTGATTAACAACTGCAGGTATGTGACCTGAATTAGGGCTTTCTAGAGAGTCCATTTTGTTGATGTCAGGATAGTCAACAAGAGCTATTCTTATGGAAGAAATTGCATTCCTATTCAGAGCCTCTGGAATGTTAGTTACATCAGAAATCAAAGTCATGTTCTTGAAATTCTTTCCATCGAGGTTTTTCCCAATATCAGTGACTAACTTCTTAGGCAGATCCAGAGTATTAAAAAGCTTGCTCTCTATGAGAATATCGAAAATGGCTATTCCCATAGGAATCCACTTTCTGAGTTTAGCACCACCATCTCTAGTTTCTTTGACCAATTCTGTCAAATAATTGAAGAGTATTGAAGGCAGATTCAGTTTGACTCTAGAAGCAATGTAGAACAACACATACTTTTGATCAGTGTTAATATAATCAAAAGAGTTGGTTGATGGTATGTGATGCACGCATCCCAGAATGATTCTAAACCATACTCTAAGATAGTTGTGCAGATTCTTGGCATTCTTAGTATTATTTCCATCTTGAAAGATCACAACAGCTATCTCATCCATCTTTTCCAATATAGTAGGTGTTGGCTAGGATTTTCACAAAGGGTTAAAATCCAACCAAAATCCAAAAAGGTTCTTTGAGAACTTTGAATTATAGGAAGTCGACTACAGAAGCATTCGACCGGGAGATATTTCACAAATAGTCAATTGGGCTTGTGGATGCATTCCACCAGAAAAAAGGCCTCATGAGGAATGGATTGGGCCCAAGACTATTAAAAATACCAAAGAGTGTATAACTAGCAAAGTAAAGTGTTATGGATGGAGAACATGGATTCGATAGTAGATATTGAGAACGTGGGTTCATGGAGGGATGTTTCAAGAGACATGTGACTTATAAAGAAGTAAAACCCACCGAAAATTAGTTATTTTTGTGTATTATAAATAAAACACTTAGTGCATAGTGTCAGTGGTACAAACTT